TAAAGCTGGTTTTTGATGACTGAAAAAGAAACAGAAACCAAAACTGACAGTCAATTATACATAAATCGAACAAAAAAAAAATTTTGCTGTTTTTAGCCAAAAAATACAAAACAGTGGACAAAAAAAAAGTAACTAAAAATTTGCTTTAATTTTTTGCTAAGTTTTCAACAGAAAGAAGAAGTCAAAATTATATGTTTGACGTTTTTACCTTTCTAAAGAAACGCTTTCAGTTCATCAATGACGACAACTGTTCGCCAAAGTTTTCCAGCTTCTTCTTGTTTCAACAACAGTATCTCGGTCTCACCAGGAAGAAGAATGACACATTCCTATCGATTTACTGCTACATAGTGTTTTTTTTTTTTTGATTCTGATACAATTGTTCATTACCGTACAGAGACACACTAAACACTATTTCAGCATCAGCCTTAAATTTGCCCCGCAGTCTAGACAACAACTGATCGCCTGATGTTTAGTCAGTCGATAGGAGCGACAAGCTGATGTTAAAGAATCGGAAACCTATACGTATCAGTCTCATATTCACAATGTAATCCAAAAACTGTTTCACCGATCTTTGATATTATCGCCAGAAAATCGACGTTTTGATTTGCTGTCAAAAAGCCTTTGACATTTCCACTGAGTGAGGAAAAAACGTAGAAAAAAAGGAACTTTCAGCAGGGAAAAAATGCATCACGTTTTTTATTACCCTTTTCGTTTCAGCATATTTTTCGCAAAAAAATTTCTTAAAAAAGAAACAACAAAATTCTTTTATAACTTTTCTTCTGTTTTTTTTTCTTTTTTCTATTTTATTTTCTGCACTTCTTTTTTGTTTCATCTGTTGCCGTCGTCGTTATAACAAAGATCACCGTTGTTTTTGCTAACCTGAAAATTTTCAACTTTATTATCTTTCTTCGCCATTCTTCTACAGCAATTTTAGACTAATACGACGATAAAAAATAAACAGAAAGAACAAAATCAAAAACTAAACAAGTCGACAGATGAGCAGAAGTAAAACGAGAACAATATATTTTTTTTTTT